CATTGAATAAAAAAAAGAAAATAAAAGAAAAGTTAGAGCAATCGGCAAGATCGACGAGAAATTTTTCGCCTCGTACGATTCCAACACTATTTCTAGGAAAATTAACGGGTGGTCCGAGAGTTTTAATCGTCGGGAATTAAGCGCGCCGGAACGTAATTACGGACGGAACAAAAGTGGCCAAAAGGGAGAAGGGGAAAGAGAAGGGAAAAGGGAAGGGGCTATTTCACCGTCGAAATAAATACGAAAATATAATGGGACGAATTTGTCGCTTTTACTCGTTGTTGGGGAGAACACGAAGGCGTACCGGAGCGTGCGTTGAGTTGCGTTGCGTTGCATTGCGTTACATTGCGTTGCGTTTCGCATCCGTTATCGAGTAAAACCGTGTCTCGTCTATCGTGACTACTGCGACCGAAACCACTGGCATTGTTGCAATTTAAAAGTCCATTCGTTTTCGTATAACGTCGCAAATAACGAGAAAAGCATAGTGGATTTGGACGATACAGCTTCCATCTTCCTATTTCTTCTTTAATACGATCATTTTCGTTTCCCTACAATGAAAGAGAAAAAAGGGATTATGCAAAATTAAATAATCAAATCTGTAAAAAGGAACAATTCATTCCCGTGTACTATTTACAGTGGATTTTCATTTCTGCGATAGCTTTTTATTTGACTACTATTTTAATACCTAAAAATAGAGTTGTAAAAAACAAACTTGAAAAAAAAACAGAAAGAAAGAAAATTCTGCCTCACGAAGCAGATGAAATTATATGGATAAGTCCAACAAACAAAAAATTAAAACAAAACCTATTCATTATTTATTATGTTTTAATCTACATAATATCCATAAAAGTCAAAGCTAACAAACATGATTGCACGTTGTATTTCTTCTCTATGTACCATCATTTCAACCCATTTAAACGTCATTTATAAATGACGTTAATAATATCTCCAATACTTTTTGTTTCCTCCCTTTTTAACTGTGGATGACGTGTAAATTCGTATCAGAGTACTGTAAATCCAATATAATTAAATTTCAACTTAATACGACACTCATTTTTGCAATCCGAATATTCACACATTTTTTGGATTCGTATGTATTAATAATGATAAACAGGAAGTTAAATAAAATTTTGTATAACACTGTAATAAACGTCATTCAAAATTTCATAAATGCAATCACGCAATCTGAATATTTTTGTAAAAATAAAATTTCCGTAATTTCTTTCATTACATAACCAAATTTCACTTTTTTTTTTAAGTAAAACAGCAGACCACCTTGAAGAATTAAATAAAATATAACTTTAACTTACGTAATAACAAAGATAAATAAAAAAAAAGAAATATCATTCCTAGAATGAATCTGTATATTCAAAAGAATGTGAAAGGTAACGTCAAGATGTTTTTTTTTTCCTAAGATAAAATAAATAGAAGTATTACTTATTTATTTAAAAAATGCACTGTTTACTAGGAAGACAGTAAAGTTCTAAGTCTAACACGTAAAGGAATTTTACTAAATAATTTCAACGTTTTTTTTTTTACACACCTCATCAATTTTGTCCCATTAAATCCACAAGACAATTTGATTGCATCCAACACTTGGAAGTTTCTCAAAGTTTATTACACACACACACACACACACTACCGATACGTTTATGTAATCCATTAGGTCATTGAAAATCTCTCTTCCTCCATCTTTCTCTTTCTGTTAATATTTTTCTTTTATGGTCATCCAACTCTCATAATTCAACGTTAGCTATTATAGTTGTATGATTATCAATGATCTGTAAATCATACTGTGATCTTTTCTCTTAGTCTCAACTAGAAAGATAGAAATAGAAATAAATATGCGCATAAATTATACTTCTATTCTTTTCCATCAGTTCTATATGAAACTTGAAAGTATATAAATGTACGTATGAATGTATGAATTTATTTACAGCGTAAGATGAGTATTTAAAGAAGAAAAAAAAAGGATAAATTTAAAATAGCAAAAAAAAAAAAAAAACAACTGTAAGGTCGATCGGATTTATGAGTATTTTTTTTATTCTTCAAGAACGTTATAAAACTTATTTGTTAGCCTTGATTATAAATGTAGTATATATAGTAATACTTTATCACGCATGCATCTATGAAAATAAAAATTGTTTATTAGGTATAGTGCAATTATACACGAGTATAATTAATATCATTTTTTTTTTTTAACAGAAGAAGGTGGTTTGATTGGCATGTCAAATTTTTTTACTTGTAACAAAAAATATCTTAAGAAATATTAAGGAAGATTAGGATCCAAGGTTAGAATGATTCGCAAGGACAATACTTATAAGAATTATTTCGCAAGAATAATTTAAATAAAACAGAATGAAAGAATGATGTAGCCACAATGAAATAGGGTTCAACAAACATACCATGGTTAGTAATGAGAAATGACACGTATAATTATAGACAGGTAAAAATGATTTCTTTCTGAGAAGATCACGTGCCTGACGGTGAAAGTAAATTCGTGAGAAATCAAGACAAAACTGCAAAAACTGTCTCTGTAATTATAACAAATCTTTTATGATGGCACAACAACGTTGCATTTTTACAACAACAACAAAAAAGAATCAGTAATAATTGCAATTTATTTATTCGTTAAATTTATTACGTATAGGAGAGCTGAAAAGTTTAGAGTCTAACAAGTGGGAATGACTGTAAAAGAGTTATATCTTTTCAAATGTGTAAATTAAAATATTTGAAGTTATTTATAATAAATTTCTATGAAAAAATTATTAAATTATGTTCTTGTAATAATAATAATAATAATTTTGTTGAAATATAAGATAATATCTATTTGAAGTATCTATTGTATTCTCAACATTGACATCGAATCTTGTTAGGTTCATCACGATTGTACTATGAGCATATGTTATGTGCTTACTCGTCTAGTGTATCACTATGCATATGCATACATATATATACAAGTATGTATACATAAATCTATAGATATATAGGTTTAGGTACATACATGGGAGAAATTACCTTACATGTCAGATTGTCGTCTTGCTTCCTCACGAATGATAACCACCTTTGCTTCTTGAAATTATGCGCTGTGAATATTTAGGACTATGAGTTATGACCTTTGACAGTTTCGAAATGGTTCTAACTGAACGCAGCTGCATCGTAAAATATTCGGTCACTGTATCAAACGTTCGATGAATTCGACTTTATCGTAAACAATATTTATGTTAGAAAAATAAATGAGATTGTTTTTTTTTTAATTGTTGGTATAATGGGATAGTGTTTTAAAATTTGAACATTTTTAAGCACGATCATTAATCAAAGCAAACTAAAAGCCCTGACATTATTTTTCAAATTAAAAATTCTTTTTAGAGATCTTTTGAAATTGACATAGAAGATTTTGTATAAAAAGCTAATAGATTTTTTTTCTGAACAGTATGTACTGAATACATACATAATTCATATACTTATGCAACACTTTTGTAAAAAGTGTTTTTCTATTGCTCGAGACTAGTAGTAGCAGCTCACTTGAAATATAAAAAAAATTGTTTCGTTAAGAGAACATTTACGTGATAGGATGGTTATGGATAAATGAATGAAAAATATAACAAATTTTCATGAGAACGACTATTGAAATTGGAAACAAAAGTTGAGAGGTAGAAGCCGAATAAGCGAATAGGAAATCCGATATTGTTTGTCATTGGAAGCGATATAGAAGAAATACAAGCTCGGAAATGAAACGGGGGGGGGAAGGGTGTGTGTATTTTCGAAATCATTTTCATTTATCTTTTGTGCATTGTTATTGATTCACTTGCAAACTGGGAATAATAAAGATTATATACCCCAATGTATTTTTCTTTAAAGACAATAATTATTGTATCGATAGATGCACGATTATTTGAATAAAAATTGTAGATAAAAAATATAGGTATACTTGTTGATTTTTATTGATTAAGTTCTTTTTTTTTATGGAACCACGTCAGAAGAGTCGAGTTGGCGCCGAAAACATTGATTAAATCCTCCACGCCGACCTATTTTTCCTTTCGTTACAGTTTTCAACCCCGTGCGCGTTGAATTATAGTCCTTTATTGCAAGTACGTGCCAACTTTTTGCCAAAGTATTGAAAATATATATTTTATACTTCCTATCGACTAAAAAAGTATTACCATTTTTTTTTTTTTTATTTGTAAAATTACCAATGACAAAATTGCATCTGTAGTTGTCATCTAAAATTAATTGAAATGTTTTATAAAAAAAAGTTCGGTATTATAATTATTGAAAAATCCTTTTTAGATTTGATAGAAAGATTAAACGATTTTGCAATCAACGAAATAACTAACACTGATTGCATAAAAAACAAAAAAGGAAATATGAATAAAAGAAAATAAAGATTTGATAGAAGTGTCTTAGACAGAAATGGATGATAAAAAGGGATCGTCGTGTAAGTTTTATTGCTAAAGCAGCTGGCACCTGTCGGATTCGTTTATCCAATGTCACAGCAACTCGCCGATAATCCGTACAAGACACAGCCAGTGTACAATCTGTCTTGTGTGTTTCCAACCGATAGTTTGTTCAATCAACTATACGATATCTTCTGGTATAAAAAAAAAAAAAAAAAAACGATACACGTGTACGATTTTTTAATTGCAACCAAAACAAAAAATTATTCTAAAAATTCCACATCGCATATTTTCCTTTTTCTTTTTACATAATTAATTCGCTAGTTCTATCGATTGTCATATGAATCGTTATCATCAGATAATTTATCTTAATTATTCGAGAGAACATTTTCGAACTATAGATAAGAATACGATGAAATATTAGATGAAGTATACAAAAAATACAACACACTCGTTGATAAAAAAAAAAAAAAATGGGAATAATTTGTTCGTTAAAATAAAATTCATAAAAGATTGAAATTTCCCGCGCTATGATCGAATTTGTTCGTTCGATTGATCGTTATTGCACGTTGCCAACTTTATCTTTGGTATATGTTTTATAACATTCAACTAGTCGCGAGCAGTTATACGTATGAACGTGTTGCTTAACAGTCGATAGCTTGTGCTGAGGTGTATCGAAGTCACGCGTTATGAAAAACGAGGACGTAAGCTATTTTATTCCATTATCTATTATTTTATACATATTTCATGATTAACACGAACGAAATGTTAAACCACTAAATATATACAATACAAGATACTTATTAAAAATAAATAAATGTTTTACGCGAGTCAATAAATTTGGTTCTTTTTTAAGAAATTTACGTGCAGTTAAAAGAATTCGATTAAGACTCTTATCTCGCGTCAGACGATAAGACACTTTTTTTTTCTTTCTATCAAAGCGTTCGTATACCTTCCTTTTTCCAATTAATGTAAGTCACCAATATAATTACATATAAAATGAAATACACTAAACTCGTTTTTTTGTACGTACATTTTGAAAAAAAAAAATTCCTTTTACAAATATCGCGACAGCAATAAATCGCTGATAGTAAAAAAAAAATGAATACGAGAATTTTCAAACTCATTGCATATTACATAAATGATTCGTAGTTTTCCTGGAAAAATTATATTACTAAACAATCTGAACAATTTTCAAGAGTTACGTCAGATTACAATGATTATTATTCTTTAGTAAAATTGGTTTTTCCCTAACATTTTCTTCTTTTTCTACATACGTTTAAAGTTTATTACAACGAATGAATGAAATTAAATAATTTAAACTATTCATTGAAATCGTCGTTTCAAACTGGACATATTTTTGTTTAATGTAAATAATTCGATGATAAGGCAGAAAAAAAGAAGATAGTACGATAATTTTGATATGATAATATGAATGTGATAATACGATTGCCAATTTCCTGCAATAATCCATTTGTATTGACCACTTCGATATTTTTAAAAATATCTTTTTGATACCACATCATCGATTTAACAAAAAAACAAAAAAGTAAAACGATATTAAACGGATAGGAAACTTATCCAGTATCTTATTTATTCAGATAGTCGATTGATTATGTTTTATAGTTCACAATATTGATATCGTATTCCTATTGAGTAAGTTCTCGGATCATAAGATAAAAACATCTAATCCTATTTTTAATATCCCATACTTCAAACAAAGTATAATATCACCATTTGACGTCACTTATTGTTAGCTGAGAATATTTGCATTGAAACTATTTTTTAATCATTTTATTTCTTATTATATAAATATGGGTTAGAAATAATAAAATCAATATAATTTTTCTTATATTCTCAATCTAATGAATTATTAATTTTTACCTATGAAATCTATACAGTTTGTCTGTAAAAAAAAAAAAAAAACTTTCGTATCTTGAAGCAATTAATGTTAAATCAAATTCTAAGGATTTTTAACAAGATTCTGTATATTATACAGTATTAACAAATTTCCAACTCTTATTATATGATGAATGAATAAATAATTAATTTTTTTTTCCTGATAACAAATTGCAGCTAACCAAATATTTCATAAATATATGAACTAAAAAGATACCGAAAGAAAGATGCATTATCAACCACCAATATCAACGATAAGTACAGCGGCACCGCCGTCCTACTCGGAAGCAATTACCCAACAGCCTCCTTCGAAAAATAATTTTCCTCTTCCTCCATTTGGTACACACACTTATGAAACACACGTACAACCAGGAATAGGAGGACAGTATCCAACGACAAGTAATTATCAAGGATACAATGTATCTCAACCGCCATACAATCCTACGTATATGTCAATGGAAACGAATCCACCGCAAGCGTGTATTGTGACCAATACAGTTGTACATCGTAAAAATAGAAATGGTAATTAATTTTATTTTTTCCTATTTCAATATTCTACAAGATGATTTCATTTTAAGCATCCAAATCTAGACTGTTTGTTTCTATCTAAAGAAAATACTTATACGTGCTCTATTTATATTCTAGGTAAGTGAAATTTATGTATCAAAGTAAATAATCAAATTTCATTTTTTACCAGTGGCTTGTTCCTCTTGCGTGAAGATACTTTTATTTTCAATAATAATAGTCAGCATCACGAGTTACTTGTTGAAAGTGATTATCGCAAGTATAATGAATTGAATGCATTTACTCCAAGGACCACACAATTGGAATTAAAATGACAATGGACAATCAAATAAGTTCAGTATTAAACAATGCACTTTTATGAGTAAGTAACTCCATAAAGTTGCATTTAATCATCATTTTAATTTCTCATATTCGCAGTTCTAGATAATCATAGTTTCCTTCTTTTTTTTTTTCTATACGATAAAAATTATGTATGTATGATATATAATTTTTAATTAACTTAATAATATTGAAGATGAAATATTGTTAAAAGTATGATTAAGATAATATATGCGTGTACATATTATATTTTTAAGTAGTTAACAAAAACTATTGTATTAGGAGACATTTAATTTAATTTGATTAAATTTAATTTTATTTTAACAAATACAGCTTTATTCGTAAAATTCTGCGTTTAACATTTGAACATAAGCAAAATGGTAATAAATGGAATTATTTAAAAAAGAATACTCATAAAACTGTAAATAGAAGTTTATGTCAAGAAACGAAAAATACTCGAATGAAATTTAGTTATTGAAAAATGACCAATACAATTGGTAAACTGAAATCGTATAACTATACTTAATAGCGATAATATTTCGCAGCATGGTAGAACGTCGCGTGCACGCATGAAAAGAAGTGAACGAGAATAAAAGATATATGGATATATTGCTAGCTTTTATTATTGAAGCAATAAAACCCTTCTAACTGAGTAATAATTTCAGAGTTGAGAGAACCGTTCAGCTTCAGAAGGCACTTTTGGTATAATATCTTTGTATGCGTGTGAGTGAACCTTCATTTGAAACATCTAACTGCGATGCTTTGTACCAATAAGCTTTCGAATACTGAAATCCTCTTGGAATATAATCGGTCTTACATTTTCACTAACGTATTTTATTTTACACACTGTGACACATGTTTCTGACTAATGTTCACTTCCTTTTTATGTCTTGCACTGCTACGTTTCTTTTTACATTGCTAAATCGATACGATTATAACGAATAGTAGTATAGTTTGTTTCAAAGATACAAGTATCGATAAAAAGAAATATCCTGAAATTTGATCTATCCTTTTTTCCAACATATCAAATTGACATACGAGATGGAAATATTTTTGAAACAAACTTGCATTATTTCTATTTTATTTACTTGAAATATTTGATTTATTTAAATAATGGAATATAAGTTGAATGAATAACATAATCAGTCAATCGCGTTGATGGTATCGTAGGAAATAGGCAAGAACATCGTTAGCTCACCGATGACACTGCCAAATCCATGAAACAGCGAACGAATTTACCAACGGATATCCGATCGGACATTGACGCTAACGAGATTTTCTCTTGTCGACTTGTAGGTGAGAGTATACGCCTTGAAAAATATATACCGATAGCGTTGCATTTTCACATTTTCACGAGGAAATCCGGTGACGAGGGAAATCAAATCTTTCGTTCAAACGAAAGAGGGACCCTTCTCAAGCATTCCCTTTTTCTTTTTTTTTTCCTTAACTATAGATAGTAGATAGTACCTTACAGAATAAAAATTCAAAAATGACAAAAACTAAAGAATAATAAAACAATTATTCATGATTTATTTTAAAACTTATTAAAAGAAAAAATGGACCAAAAGTTCTTAAATGATATTAAAGATCAATTACTCTTTCTCAAAACTTTAGAAGATTACAATCGCACTTGTAATTTTACAATCGAGCCAAGTACTTTAACTAGAAAGAAGAATAATTAATTTTTTATAATCATGTAGGAACTTTTGAGACCCCGACCCTTTCTTTATTATAATTTAAACTTGACAAAAATGAATTTTTTATGATACGAGCTAATCATTAATAATCTTTTGATAAGATACTGAAATAAGAATGAAAAAAAATGCTGATGTACGACAGTGTGATTTGAGAGTTACATGATATTTTATAGAGGATTAAATTCACATGCACCTAAAATGAAATACCTCATTTTATCACGTACAGTTACTTCTAAAAATATTTCAATACTTTATTTTGTTAATATGAAAAAACAAATTAGATATTTGGTTACTAAAATGAATAAATGATTCATTGGTAAAACCAAGGACAATTTCTTTCTTAAACGACGAAAATATGAGATCAAAAATTTACTTTAAACTGTAGTGTCTGAATATTTTTGAAAGTCACTGTATATTCGAAGTACGTGAAGATAAAAGAAAAACCATCTTCATTGGTTCTTGCACCTACGTACATAGATATCAGGATTTGGAAAGATAACGCGACAGACACTATGAGCTTAACGTTTTTGTCCAACCTTTTTTCCGATAATTAATGTTCGTTCACGTTCTAGGACCAAACGAAAAGAAGGAAAAGGTTTTTGGAGACATGAGAATAGTAGAAGAGAAGGTGGATCAGATTAATGGTCGTTTTACTCGCTCACCATTACAGAAAAGAATGCTTTCCGATATCGTCTGTTATCCGAACCGAACGGGAAACGTACATGAAACTTATCCGAACAGAAATCAAAGGGCATCGCGTGTCGTTTTGCCCTTCAAAGAAACCTATAGAAAGTCGAATTGGATTTTCGTAAAACGATCGCTTTTGCACACTGCAATAGATATGTTATCGTTCTTCATGCATTCTGATAAAATATGGACATATCTACTAAATTATTACACTTTATTATATTTTGAATTTATTCACAAGATTTTGACTTGCTATATAAATTAATGACACTGAATCATTTTTATATTGAAAAAAAAAATCTATAAAAATTGGAAGCTTTAATTATTGTAGGAAGTTTAGTTCGTGGAGTAAAATGATAGGAAATTGTGCTTTTCTAAAGGGGTCAGAAAATCGACACGTAACTTCCTCGATAAAGGCTTTCGATTTGGCGTAAAGCTACGTAAACCCCGAAACTTATATACCCTTGTAACTTCATCATAATAGTCCGGTACACACGTTCACGAAACTCTACAAGAGAGTGGAAAGTGGTAGAGTTTCTGAGCAAGCTAAAAGGGCTTGGATGGATGCGAGAGGATGGTTGGATGTGGTTTTGAAGGGAGAGGCTGAAGGGATGATCGAAAGAAGGAGGTTCGAAACGTGCTCTCTTGTCCATTCCTGCGATCGTTTCTCAGCCATTCCTCGATTTCACAGCCCTCTTTCATTCCTTATCTCTGTATCTCTATATTTTCCTTTTTATCTCTCTCTCTCCCTCTCTCTCTCTCTCAAGCAATCTTTCTATCTTCAAGAAGAAAGGATCAATATAAATGTTTTTCATGTTTGCACTATTTTTATAATATCTTTCTTTATAATACTCGTAGATTTTAATAAGAATTTAAAAAAATTTATCATAGCACATTGTTGCTATTATTTGAAATATATATTGTAGGAGCTTACCATCTCTATTGTTATTATTTAAACTAAACAAAATATTCAATGTAATATGTACAGTTCAAGTGTATTCAAGTCTCGATATAAGTTCGTCTTCAAATATTTCAAGAATTTATTTACTGAAATGCATGATTCATTTCGTTGTTATATTGAAGTCTAGTTGAAGAGATTTTTCAAGGTTCCAAAGTAGATATTCTAGTAGTGTAGTTAGGTCGGAAGTCGAAATGTATCTCTTCTCGGGTGTTTGGGAAAGGAAAACTAAGGAAATAGTAGAAGTTTGTTTAGGATGTTTGTGGGAACTAGAAAAGGGCCTGTAGGAAACTACGAAGTTGAGATAAGGGGGGGGGGTGTCCTATTTCAAGGTGGGGACGACTAGGTTTTACAATCTTATAATAATGTGTACTAAACATTAAATAATATGATAACTGTATTAGAAATAGTTAAAAAGAAATTAAAAGAAGAAACCAAAGTTGCAAGAGTACGGAGTAAAAAGTTGTTTTGCAATGCAACAATAGTTTTTGTTGCAAAGATGAGAAGAAAAAGCTTGAAAGCGAAAACAAATAGAATTGTAGTTTCATTCGTAAAGCTCATGGTAGAAACTGAACAATAAGACGTTGAGACAGTTTAAAATCGAGGACGCGAAACGAAATAAGAAAGATTTTTACGACGCTATTTCTACGATGGGAAAATCGTTCGAGGACGACGTTGAAGAGTAGTGCGACGGACGTCAGAGAAAACTAACTCGACGTTCCACGATGCTTTTCCAACCGAAATATCGAGACGCCTTCACCACAAACTACCTGCTACCTACTTTCATAGATGTGCTTCAGTTTCGATCTACATCGCATTCTATTTCACTTCAATTCCAAAAGAGTCTCCAACTTTTTTTTTCCTGATGACACTTTCAAGATTCTACGGATTATCCTTTATTTTTATATGTTCATTTTCTATCTCCTTTTTTTTATTTATAAAAATCCGAGAGAAAAAAACTTTACGTAAGATTGCTTTTTAATCTTTCTATTTTTGGAAAAAAAAATCCATTAAGCTTACATACAAATCTATCCTATTCTTCTATCTTCCTTTTTTTTTTTTTTTCTTTATTTCTATCATTTTTCTTCACAAAATCAAAGAAGCTTACGTAAGAGTAGATATCTTGCCTGCACAGCGATTTACTTCTCGGAGAAAAGAATTCTCCAACTTTGGCTTCAACACTTTACGTGCATATACACAGTGCATCTATGAGTAAGCACATTTAGTGTGGTACAAGCTGTGCTTTTATGTAACAACAGATGAGATCAACTTGAGATAAAAAAGTTTGACGAAGTCGTAAAATCTTTAGACATCTTTTAACTTTATCTTTTCTAAATCTTAAAATATAAAACTTTCATAAAATTCTATCGAATGATTAAAATTAACATTTTTTTAAAATCAAAAAGATCAAAGAATCTTCTTTCAAATTTCAGAGTCACACTCATTCGTCGATTTTATTTTCAACGGATATTCGTCTGGTTGATAAATGTGCACCGTTAATGTTGCAACAAATCGCATTATTATTCACTATAGTCATACTATTCTCTCTAGGTAAGAGTATTAACGTAAGGAGCTTATTCTATCGCTTATAAACTCTTCGACTATGTACACCATGATCAATTCGAGAAACACTTGCTAACGATTTCGAACGTTCGATAAACGTTTAGCTTAAGATGAAGAAGACTTTCGTTAAATGACTGAACGATATTCTTCAGAAGAAGAAGAACAACAACAACAACAACAACAACAACAAAATATACGCATAAAATTAAAAAATAACATTAAAAATAAGACAAATAAAATAAGATGAGAAAATAATTTAGAAGAATTTCTTGTAGAAAG